TTTTTTTTTTTTAATATTTTTTCCCCCAATATTTCAAAATTTTTTTTTCGAAAAATATACGTTAGCAAACTGCCACCGTTTGTCCAAAGCGTCAAGCTCTAACTGTTCGCCTTTGCGTCGCGCCTAATATTATTCAAGTAACTGCACTATCAAATAACCGTTTGATTTGGTAAATGTCAATTGTAATTGAGTAATCAACGCCTTAAAACCAAATTTCATAAATCAGTGATTTATTGCGACATTTACGGTTATAATTGTGTCATTTAAGACTATCGAAAATCTACCTACTTAAATTTCATATTATATAACTGCTTATTTATTACCAAATTACACCCTGCTTGCATTAATCATACATATGTGCATACAAACATACATGTATACACATTCGGGAGTGACTAAATTATGCTTCTAAACGCACTCACATGATATTAGGCGTGGCCGCAACTTAATCACAACCTCACTTAGCTGTTAGTATGAACATAGAACACGTGATTAGTTTTTGTTTGTCACTACAAAATCTTTCTCCGGTTGTGTCTTCCCTTAACACGTTTTTGTTTTCAAATTATGAAAGATTCTATCAAAAAATTTGAGCTCTTCTAGCTCATTGTAAACGATTCTGAACAAGAAAAGGAAACAAAAGAGAATTCGTCGAGCTTTTAAGAACTTTTTACCAGCATCGTTCAAGCACTTAGTTCTTTCAAGTCTTTCCAAGCACTAAGTTCCTTCTGTTTGATGGTTGTGACGGACTCATGCTTCATTTACGGAGAGGTTCTTTGAGTAGTAAATGTAGAAAAATGTGACAGAAAGCTAACTAAGGGGCTTAGATATGATTTTTCTTAAGTACCAAGGCTGAAATATGACTGTCATATAGTATTGTAGTCGCTTTCGGTTCATTTTGGACAACTCATATTCGTAAATATACCTCTCGAAACTTTCATGGATACCAAATATTAAAGAGTAAATAAGAAGACATCGGTTGCCTTATATTGCTGTAGAGGAGATATGGGGAAAAGCTGGGGACTATCATCAAAAGTGCTTTTTCTCTGCTCGCATACCGACAAAGAATATCTATGTGGTTAGGGAGCAGTCGCCGTAGAATGGGTGCAGTGAACTTTTTTCGAATGGTTCGAAATTTCGAGAAACGGTTGAAGAGAATGCTTTCTGTAGGGAGTTCTCCGTCACTCTTGGCTTTAAGCTACCAAAACGCTGTATTGATTTTCTGGTAAAAACGGCTGAAACATCTCAGCAGTCTTACACTCGGCGAATCAGAAGTGAGATCCTTTTTAGGACTATCATCGCGTAATCTCATTATCTAACATAACTTTGGCTAACCTCTCGGAAATGACGTTATTATTGATGATTGAAGAAAATGCAAGTTTGTTTATTATAAAATATCCCTTTTATGACCCCAACATGACGAATTCGGATTTGGCACGAGTTTAGAGTTAAAGAGCTCATTGTAAACTTCAATGAAAAGTGTTTTCCTATCACTCCTGGTTCATAGAGCCTCTACAGATTGCGGCGTCTCACACGATTGCGGACTATGGTGTTTACGGCGTCCTAGAGAAATACTTTTATTAGCTTATTAGCGTAGCACCGACCTTCTCTATATTAGTTTTGGTTGGTTCTTACGAGTTACAGTCAAGCAACAACCTTCTAATGACACCTGGAGTCTTGGTCATTCTTTGCGCTTTATTTGATATAGTTTGGGTTCTTTCTTTCTTAAACTCCATAACACTCGATTTCTTATAGCTTTCGGTCTGAATATTATGCATATGATGGGAAGAGACTTGTAGATGAATACCTGGATTCTGTGAATGATGGAGTTCGAGACCAGCCAACAGCGCTGACTTCAGGCGTGTAGATAATATTTTGAGCTTTGTGATTCTGGAGCTTTGCGAGCTTAAACACTCCGAATATTGCCTTTCAAATGCCATTCTTGACTTATTCGTCTTTACATTTGACAACTGCTTCTGCTCCACCGTCATTTGTTATAGTAGTCCTAGGTTATTGACGAACCCATAAAGCCTATCTGACTGACAAGAGCAAAAGGCTAGATGGGCTTAAAATTTCAGTTTATTAACTTACAATATTCACAGATATATCCAACTACCCTCGCACTTCAAATAGAACCGGTAACACCTCATATTTCCCGAGGAGACCTCCTTTTAACAGCACCAAACACATAAATAATTTATATGGAATTCTAATTAATTATCTCGCTTACAAGTACCCAACAATGCCAAGCCGAAGAATTGCACTATTTGAGGCATAATTTCACCGACCAACTGCCGAACGAACGCTAAGTACGCGCACACATGCACACGTACACACATGTGTGTGGCTGGTATGTAACGGCTAGTGACGCAAATGAGTGCGAATGGGTAAAGAGCAAATGATGTGTGTGCAATTATAATGAATTATTGGTATTTTTGAAACGTTTATGAGGTTGGGGCCGTTTCAAAACTGAGATTTATGTGGTGTTGCTGTCGACATAAAGTACATTTTATTGCCATTTAAATATGATAAATAAGCAGCATTGTTGGCAGCCGATATGCAGGTCGAGGCACTCTATATACGATGTATGTGTGTGCGTGCGTGTGAATGTGATTTTTGACACTACATTGAAACAGCCAGTTTTGCAGATAATTTACGAGCTGCATATTCACACAGACATGTGCATACTTACAAGCTTATAATGCAATCATTAGACGCCTCCTTGGTTCACCAAATTCCAAGAGCCACCAACTGTAGCAAATCACCACGGCAAGTGTCGGCCACAACAAGCACAAGACGTTGCCAAAAATATCAAAAATAAGAACAACCGTTAGCTTCGACTACACCGAAGCTATTATACCCTTCACACGTGCATTTATCATGGCATGAAGGGGTATAAAGCATGTTTGTTTTGATTTTTAACGGTTAGCTTGTATGGCAGCAGTGTGGTACAGTGATTCGATCTGAACAATTCGTTCAGATATTGTAGAGCTGCGTTAGAAAATAACCGGTGCCAAATTTCGAAAAGATATTGTCAAATAAAAAAGTTTTTCTTGAAAGGACTTGCGTCAGTCAGTTCAGTTTGTGTAACAACTATACGCTATAGAAGTCCGATCCAAACAATTTCTTCGGAGATTGGGGCAAAGCTTCGAAAAGTAATCTGTGCCAAATTTCCGGAAGATATACAGTCAAATAAGAAAGTTGTCCATACAAGGTATTGATTTTAATCGTTCAGTTTGTATGACAGCTATATGCTAAGGTGATCCGATATCGGCGATTCCGACAAATAAGCAGCTACTTGGGAAGAAAAGGTTTTATGTGAAATTTCGGATCGATAGCTCGACTATAAAGACAGACACACATGTTTAAATAGACTCAGCTCTGATCAGTGTGATCATCTCCGACGCTTTCTTCTGAGTATTACCAACTTTGTGGCAAACTGAATATACCTTATTTAAGGTATAAATATGTATGTAACGGTAAATTGCGCAGCAGTGCATTCGGAATATTTTAGTGTTTCGATTCTCATTTTTATTTGTTGCTTTGCGGCACCAAAAGCAGCGGCAAATTGCATTTTTCCCTCATTGCAACATCAATGGCAGCGGCGGCCGGCTACTGCAAATGCGTAACATTCGATTTTAATTGGTGAAAAATAGCCGGCATTTCATTGCCGTCACCAAGCTAACACTCTAGCGACATACCGCCAAGTGGTCATAAAGACACACACATACATACAAACATGAATATTTATCGCGTTATGTGCGTGTGACAGCGCATGCGCCAACGCTTTAAGTGGTGTATAAAAATTAAAAGCATTTACCGCTATCGTAGGCGATCAGGCGGTCAGACGTCGGGCGTATCCGTAAAAGCGTAAATATGGCGGCAGTAAACGCTTAAGTGCGACCTCGAAGGGTTTTAACTATTATTGTATGCATACATACGTATGCAATTTCAACTTGTTAAATCAGGGTTGCCATGGAAATTGTTATTTCACATTTGTTCAGCCAATTGTAGATACAATTCTTAATATCATATTAGAAGATAAGATTCTAGGTTCTCATATAACTAACTACTTCGAGAAATGTTAAAAATTTAAAGTAGATTCATCTCTCACCCAACCTATGAACCTGTAACTATTCCCTGTCTCCATGGCTCATCTTTAAGAGTTATTTTTCCCAACTTCTCCAAATATTAGTGCTAACTATCTCGATACTATCCTATAATTTGACATAAAAGCAGAGATTTCTACAGATACAAAGCATTTGCAAAATGGATCTAGTAAAAGTTCATTATTTTAACACTAATATGAAGATTAGTTGAAATGATCCGAATGATCCGATTAGAAAGCACCGTTTTGTTCGATAACCTGTTGCCATTTGGAAAGCAATTTCATAATTTCACTCTCAGACCAACCTTTGCCCTACTGTCGATTATTACGAGGTCATCTTGTAGTCCATTTCTCACCACCAAAAGTATTCACTATATATACAAACAGGTGTTAATCACTTACTGATAGATCCCGACAATATGGTTGAGTCAAAACATTCGAAC